CTTACAAAAGAGGTTCCAGAAGTATCTCTAGCCACTTTCACCAGGTAAGGATACAACAAGAAGTCTGGGACCCAAAAGCATGCTTTCACCTGACTATGCTGGCAACCTGATCTCAGACTTCCAGTATCTAAACTGTGAGGAATAATTTTGTTTGTTTATTGTTGTTGTTGTTTTCATAAACTACCAGTCTATGCTATTTTGCTATAGTAGCCTGAATGGACTAAGATAGCTCTAATATTTCTTTTGTGGATTCCTTAGGATTTCTATGTACAAAGTCATACCATCTGAAAATAGATGTGATTTTAAGTAATATAATGTAGTAACTCTTGAGATCAGTCTCTCTACCACTCCCCAGGATTTGTGGTTGTTGCTGTTTATTGTTTTTTTTTTTTTTAAGATTTTATTTATTTATTTGACAGACAGAGATCACAAGTAGGCAGAGAGGCAGGCAGAGAGGGAGAAGGGGAAGCAGGCCCCCCACCAAGCAGAGAGCCCAATAAGGGGCTCGATCCCAGGACCCTGGGATCATCACCTGAGCTGAAGACAGAGGCTTTAACCCACTGAACCACCCAGGCGCCCCTGTTTATTGTTTCTTTGACTCTTTGTTTAACAATGACTTTTATGAACTAATTCAGTAAAGCCTGTATTTTTTTGTTTTGTGTTGTCACTGAATCTCTGCTTGGTTAGTTTAGTGGTCAGCTAATAGTTGAACAGGGATTTCCTTAAACACTTGGAACCAGTAAATCTATCAGTCTTTGCCAAGGGGTTCTGTATGTTGGGGCGGACCTTCAATACTCAGACAGGCAGTTGACAACTGGGTCTTAGCCTTCACTTCCTGCTTACCAGGAGCCTGATGATCAGCCTGAGGTAAGAGCTTATAGTCAGCCTTCTCAGATTCTTCCTGAACATGTAGAAAGCCCTAGGCATGTACACAGCCCTGTGTATGATTTTGGCCTTCTAGATTCTCAGTATTTGCTGGAGCTTTCCAAAGCCCCAAGGAAATCTCATTCCTCTGTGTTCAGCCTTTTGCTTGACCTAACTGCTATCCTCTACCTCATGTGGCCACAAAAATAATCAATTGCCTCTGTTTTCAACAAGGGTTTCCACACTGGGCACTTCCAATCAGGTCAAATAAAGATAGCCTTGCAAGTGGGTCTCCAGGGTCTGACAGACAAGTCAAATAAAGACAGTTCTCTGGGTATTTGGCTTTGAAAGAACTCCAATCCCTTTCTACCTGCTCCAGGGGCTGCTAGATGGCTGGTTTTCACTGTAGTTACAGGGTGTTGATTTTTATGGAACTGAAGAGGGAGGAGGAGAACAGGGTAAGTTACAATATCACCGTGTTTGCCGTTCTTACCGAGATTCAGCCTTTTTCTAGAATAAATGCTCCCCAGACTGCTGCAAGCTCTCAGGCAATTTTCAAAGTTCTAAAACTTGGTTCTGGTTATTTTTGCCAATTTCTCATTGGTTTTATGCAGAATTTTCAGAGCTCCACACTCCCAACATTTTTGCTGATATTCTACCATGTACTTTTTTTTTTTAAACCTGCAATGGCTTTCTGTATCCATTCCCACTACCCTGTTCAGATGTTGCCTCCTAGATGTGGGTGTGGCTTTTCTGAGGACACCATCTCCTTGGTACTTGCTGTCATCTTTCCCCTCCAAGTCCAAGGAGGTTCTAACAAAAAGAGAGATATCAAAGAGGCTTTAAATGCTTTGGGGCGCCTGGGTGGCTCAGTGGGTTAAAGCCTCTGCCTTCAGCTCAGGTCATGATCTCAGGGTCCTGGGATCAAGTTCCGCATCGGGCTCTCTTCTCAGCAGGGAGCCTGCTTCCCTCTTTCTCTCTGCCTGCCTCTCTGCCTGCTTGTGATCTGTCTCTCTGTTAAATAAATAAAATCTTAAAAAAATAAAAATAATAAATGCTTTATAGCTAGGGCTCCTGATGATGCCAACTACAACCTTAAGGTAATCGTAGTCATTAAATGTGAATAATCAGGAGCTGGACCTACTTTTAGAGTGCTATGTTCTGTCCTTGTAAGAATAACTGATATAAGTTGAGAATATCATAATTTAGTGCTTAAGGGCACAGACAGGTATTGCAGTGAAACCATATGAGATCACTACCTCCTAGCTGTGATAATAATGGTATACATACAATCTACGAAGACTGTGGGGAACAATTCAAATAAAATCTTTAGCAGAGTCTGGCCCAAGCACTCCATACCGAGTTGCTGGGATTTTTATCACCATTGTCAGAGCACCAATGCCTACTAGAAATCTCATAGCACATGTCCAAGTAGGAAGGGACCTCAGAAATCTGCCAGTTCCACTGCAAACCGAGGACATTAACTCGCTTTACCTCACATCCCTATTAAATGAGTTCCAGCATGTGTTTTCATACTTCTAAGCACCGGGAATTCACCATCTCAAAGGCACCTCATTGTGTTGACAAATCACTCTCATTATCTTCCTTCTAGTGAGCCCCAAGTCCTTCTTTCATTTTTCCCTTGAACACTTTTCAAAATTGAGCTATTACCATTTCTTGAGAAGTTGCATGACAACTCTTTCATTACTGAAGGGTTCGGAAAACACTCCCCAGTCTTCTTTCTAGCTTTGGGGAAGAGGTTGATGCTTTCCATTGCACATCAACTCCTACCCTCTCCACTCCCCCCAACCCCCCACCACCCCACCCCCCTCCGCCACCTTCCCCCAACCACCAACTGCCATGCCCTAAGTATCCTCCTAAAACCTTAAAGGTCTAGTTGGAAGAAATAAGTTCCTTTTGAGATACAAGATATCTATTTATCTCTTTCCTACCTCCCTTCCCATGATAAATGAATCCCTGTTCTGTGAACACAACCAGTTCAACACACACATGTGTACACACACACACACACACACACACAAAGAAGAGTTTCAATTTATTGGTTGCTCTTTGGGAAAGGTGATATAGAACATAATTGGGATTAAAATCAAATTCTAGTTACAGATTCATAAAACTTTGCTTTAAACCAAATTAACTTTTATGAGACTATTAAATCGCCTCTCATCCTCATACATTAACAAAGTAACTCAATCATAATCTATATAATCCTCTGTTGGTTTTCCATGATTAAAGCACACATAATACATAATGCAGTTGATATTAAATATCTTGAGAATGACAAGTCAATAGAACTCCTTCCACTCTTAAGCATTAGCTGGTCATTTAGACATGTTCTGTACATACACTTTTAAGATTTTCTCCTTCAAAGGACTTGTGAACTATTCATTATTATGTGTTATTTGTATACACACGTCAGATGTCATCCAAAATTACATTTAAAATCTCTCTTCTTATTGCTTCAGAAATGTTAACCTTTAAGGAACATTTGATTAAAAAAAAGCAAAAGTTCAGGTCCTGACTCTTGCAACACATGTTCATATGTGTCAAGATTTTATTGTTTCCCTCTGACCTGATTAAAGCCTCCAACAACATACAATGTGCCACTTTCTTCTTTGCTCAACTCAGAGGAAGTCAAATAAAAAGAGAAAAAACAAATGCTCAAAATCACAGTGACCAAGGATTTGAATTAATAATTACATTAAATAACCATAACTTTTTGTTTAACTATTCACATTCCACACAGTGGAAATTATCGTTTCCTCCAGATTTTTCACTTACATTTTTAACTTTGAAGAATTACAATAACAAAAAAACAACTTACAGACTCACAGGATGTGTGTTTTTCTCTTTTAATGCCAAGCACAAAGTGTACATCATAAAATTCATATTTGGTGTTTGGCATTATTTTAACAGGAAAGATTGAGATCACAAGTATCTTGCCATAAAAAATTCTACTATAGTAATGAAAAAAAACATACTTTTCATCAGTGACTCCAATACAATATGTAATAGATATGGCACTGTCAATAAATGTTGGAAGACTCACCATACTTTGCTAGTCTTAATATAGGCACAGTAAGAAAAGCAGACATTTCCCTCTTTGGCTAGTGCTGTTTTGGGGGGTTGTGTTTTGTTTTGTTTTGTTTTGTTTTGTTTTGTTTTCAGGGTAGTTATGCTGCTGATTATCCCAGTGAAGTTAATTTTGAGGAAATTCTCTTTACTTAAACCAAATCCAACTTACATGCAAGACTGTGGTACAAGCTACTAAAAGAGGATTACTGCTGCCAACTTAAGTCATCTCTTTTTAACAAAATTGCATGCTTGTGGCAGAGTTAGGACAACAAGAGAAATTCAGTGTCTGCTGGTTCTGAATGTCATTTTCCTTTCTAGTGTGGTTTTACATGTTCAGCTCCTTCCCCCTTCTTTTCCTCTCCCCCACCCTCAAAATTCTGGCTTAGTATTTGTATGCTTAATTAAATCCATTCTGTGCTTTTTTTGTTGGAGGATGTGGATGATGGAGAGATTTAGGGCGGGGCCATACAGTGTACACGAAATACATGGACTGTGTGTTCCGGCAAATTTGCCTCGTGTGGAATCATCAGTAGTGAGTTTGAAAGTTTCAAAACTCCACCCAATATTTTGGGTGTTCAAGATAACTTCTGCCTCAAAGTATGGTTCTGGCTTAGCTGTTAGATGGAAGAGCGCCACACCAAATAAAATAAAATAAAATAAAATAAAAGCAGGCTCTTTAGTGCAATGCTGGCACCTTAGATGGGCAACTAAAATGCTAAGTCAATGGTGCTTGTTTCCCCTATCACACGTGACTTGGCTAGCAAGGATGAGAAGGTACAAGGCAGAAAAAGGGTTCTGGTGGGTGGGGACAGATTTACATAGAAAACCTCAGGCTTAAAGAGCCAAATCCAAACCGCAGTAAGGTCCACCTGCCCCACACTTTGGCCATCAGATAAATCCTAAGTAGGGATGGGGAGGAGCCAGAGTTTAATCAGTGGAGGGGTCTAACAATAGGTTCTGGATGGTTACAGTGTTGCCCGAATCCCACCTCTAGTAGAGAGACAGCTAACGCACTCAAATGCTCGGATCCTCCCCCTGCCCCCCCACCCCCCAATGCTCTGATTCTCAACTGGGATTTCTCATTAGACCCTGAGAAGGCAAGGAAAGATGAGGAGGACACGTCCTTTACACTTCCTCCCCGTATTAAACTACTCCTTAGCCAGAGGCAGTCTCCTTTATTTCTTTATTCTCTTCTGGTCCCCTGCTCAATCTTCTACCAATGACTGAAACAAAAAGACCCATAATATATTTCTAGCTCAAAAGGAGCAGACCCTCGACTCTCCCCTCTTAGCCTGGTTCACTGACAAGGACACAGCAAAGGGAGAATCTTTCTAATACAGGGCTGTGGCTTTCACAAGCATTACACAGAAATAATAAGCTGGGAAAGAGGTGGCTACAACCAAGCAAACGGAAAAATACGGGGACCTTCTGCTTATGAGGTGTTCGTTTTCTTCCTGTCGCTGCACAGGGGTTTCTGAACTATGTCTATTTTCTGCCTGAGGGGTGGAGTCGGGGGCGGGGGTCCTCTTGGTTTCGCTCACTCACCCGGTTCTGAAAATAAGAGTGGCCAATATTTATGTTTTAAGTGTGGTGTTGTGTTACAGCCAATGTCAGCATATCACAGTGACAGCCAAAGTTAGTGATTTTTTGGCAATTTCATTTCTCCTCTGTTCACTTGGTTTCTGTTAAATACCAGGAAAAAACTCGCTGAAGCATGGGTTGCACTGTTTGGGGGTTGGCCTTTCAAGACTCTGCAGGTCTCCCGCGGGAACTCGTGTTGCGCCCAACTGGTCCCCCACCCGTCCATCCCACCCACCTCTCCCTCCTGTGTCCCTCTTGTCCTTTGCGCACACCAGCCTCCTGGAGTCGGAAGACCCTTCCCAAAATGAGAAACAGTCACGTCTATGGTGGAATGAGCTAATTAAGAGTCCCGGGCAGAGAAGGAATTAGACTGAAATAGTCACTGAGATCCTAAGAAGGGATGGACTGTGGAAGGGGTAGGAGGACGGGAAGAAGCAGGCGCCGGTGGAAATACCTTTTCCAAGTATAAAGCAGCACTAAAACAGGTCTCTTGCCCTCAGAGTAGCCTCTTGCATTAACATTCATTCAGAAAGGAGATTCTGGTCCCAGGAGGGCAAGTGGAACACCCCGGCAGAGGCTGACCGCAGCCTCGCCCCTTTTCACGTGCCTCCCCCAAGTGTGGGCTTTCCGTGCCAGCCCCCTGGAAGCGGATGCTTTTGCATAATAGGAAGCGTCCTCCTCTGGCGTCTGCCACCCCCCAGACACCCACGCACACTCATGCACACAAACTACGCACTAGCAGGCTCCTGTCAGAAGGCAGCTGGTGGTTCTTCTTGCTTGTAAGTTGAAGCCAAGTAAGAATCAGGTCGTTTTAGGTCTGGCTCTGGGTCTGCCTGAGGCTGCATCCCTAAGACAGGCTGGGTGTGCCCAGCTTAATCCAAATCGATGGATATGCATCGACACTGTTTGACTCGCGTGACCCTCTTCTTCTTGGTGGGCGGCTGCAGTTCGGGGCAGTTGAGCGTGACCATCATGGTGGTGAACTTCTTGGGCTTGCAGAAGGAGCAGGACTGGAAGGAGCCTTCCTCCTTCCGGATGTGCCTGGGGATGTAGAAGGAGTTGCACTGGCCATAGCAGAAGCGGTTGATGATGGTACGGCTGTTGCAGCCCTCCTCGTGGATGGTCTGCTTCAGCGGCTGGGTTTTGCACCAGTCTCGCTTCAGGTATTTGCGCTCGGTCACGTGCAGGGCCTCCTGGCTGGACTCCAGCACCTCCTCCCCCGGCATGGCAGTCCCACGGCCTTGGCCACGCCCCCGATTCCTGGAGCCCGGTTGCTGGGGAGACTGAGTCTGCTCGGAGTCATTGTGCTGGGCCTTGTCTGGTGGAGGGATGGCACCTTGGGACCCCTTCTTCTTTCCTTCGGCAGTGGGCAGCAGGGTCCCCAAGAGGAGAAGCAGGGCTCCCACAGTGTAGGCGGTGCGGCTCATGCTAACAGAGGGAAGCACAGAGAGGGGAGACACAGAAGACAGACAAGTCAATTTGAAAATTAACAGCAGCTAATGTTTTATCAGGCACTTCTTAGACCCTTTATGTAAGACATTTCATTTTCTTCTGACAATATCTCTATGAATCTGGTATTATTATTCTCATCCCCCACCTAGCAGTCAAGCCACCAAGTACCTTGCCCTGCCTCACCGGTGAATAAGGCAAGATGGCAGCTCAGCCAGGCCCTATCGCTTCATGGCATGTCCTCCAACCGCAGTTCCTTCCCTGCTGCTGACAGCAATCACTTCTGACGTTACCTTGTGGTCACTTAATTCATTCTTGTATTGGGCTGAATTACCTTTGTACCTCTCTAGGGAAACCCAATTTTCTGTTTAGTTTTACAGCAAGGCAAATCAACCTCACTGTCCAGGCTTCATCAGCCAGGAGAGGATCCCAGTCTCCTTTTCTCCCCAACTGGCATGAGTGCTTCTTGAATTGTGTCTTGTGTGTTTGGTTGGATGCTTGGGAGATGTTGGCTGATAGCAGGCCTTACAAGGAGAACCCTGGCAGAGCCAGGCAAGCTGTGGAGGGAGGGAGAGCACTTAGCAGGAGCAACACTGGATCCAAAGTCAAGACTGGGTTTCCAGTCCAGGTCTTGGGGCAACAACTTACCATCTGACCTTGAGAAAATCACTTTGCTTCTCGAGAAATGACTTCTTGTAAGCTCATCTCCCCAGACAGGTTGTTCAGATCAAATTTGAGGTTCAAACAAAAGCAGTTTGAGAACTAACCAGATCTATGGCAGGATCTCAGACAGAATGAATTACCTTTCCAGAAAGATCACATTAATTCCTAAGACTCCTGGACTTCTCACTTGTTCTCATTTTTAAATGGGCATAGCTATTGATTATATCATTCATGATATCATGATATACAGTTTTCTATCTTTAAATGATGAAATATGTCATTTACATGTGCGTGTATCTGTGTGTGTGTTTCATCTAGGAGGTAGAAAATGGCATAAGAAAACAGGTATATGCAAATTAATTAATTATGGCATTAATAAATGCCATAGACATGTAGAATAAATTAATGATAGTGAATTATTGTGGATGGGCCTGGACTTAGACATGGGTCAGAAAGGGCAGTGAACAATGGCAAAAAAATTAGAGAAGTGGGGGAAGGCAGAGGGAAAGCTAATAAAACAAACAGGAAAGCAAGGATGGAGAGACAGAGAAGAAATGGACTACGGAATCTAAATCAGAGAAAGGAGGGCTCCTAGGGAGGCAGAGTGTTAAGAGAAGGTGGAGTGGACAGAGGAGAAAGAGGAGAAGCCAGAACATATTTTTTTAAGAGGGCAAGCATCACGCTATTGAGATTCTCTTGACACTGTGCCTCTCAAACCTCGGGAGCAGAGGATCGCCTGAGGGTATTGTTAAAATGCAGATTCTAATTCAGTCAGTCTGCCTTTCTAACAAGCTTTGAGTAGCAAGGCCTGTAGCTATGGCAAGCTTGGGGCACAGAAAAGAGTTATTAAAATGTGGAAGGATTTTCTTTTCAAAGAGCGCAATTGCAAATTCACAGCTTTCCTCTAGGGCCATCTAACCAAATCTGACCTGCATCTTGAGGCTTCCCCCATTCCCCAGGCCCCGTGCCCACCATGGTTCTGAACCTAAGGGCAGATCTGTGAGTACCCATTTCCCTGTTCTCTTTTATAGACCAGCATTACATATAATAATAAGTGCAATTTAATAGTAACCTTATCACGTCCCCCCAAAGAGCTATACGAGTTGGTATGATTAGCTAAAGCAACCACCTTTCAAAGACAAAGGCCTTGCGGAATCTACATTCTCTAAGCAACAGTCCCTGTAAGTAAAGACCATGCAACTTAAGCTAATTAAGATAACTTAATATTAAATTTAAAATATGCTTAAATGGCACCATTTTTCTAACATTAACCTAATACTCTGGGGCAAGTTCAAGTTTGGAACTGATAATGTGACATTTAGCTCCTGCTCTTTCGACTGTAGACTCCCTGGCTTTTGTCAGTTTATGTTACAACATCCCTGTTCTTTAAACAGAGCCTTTTTTGCCTCAACAACAAAAAAAATTAATTTCCTTGTTTTGTCTTTAAAAATCACTCATGAGAAAAATCCAGTTATAAAACAGTGCTGATTTTCTCCAGAGACCGGGATAACTTGAGCCATGACAGTTCAGTCTCCTAAGCAAATATATTGTGAATTTGAGAAGCTTTAACAAATTTCTTCTATTTGTTTAATTGGGGAGCAGGACCTAAACTAAAATTCAGTCTCTGCCCATTTCAAAGAGGAGCACATGAGACAGCCCAAGGCTTACACCCACAGACTTCCCTCATCCCTACTGAAAATGGCCCCAAGGAAAATTCAGCCCTCCCAGAACAAGACCCTCAGAGCCCAACATCACAGAGACCAATCTGAAACTGACTGGGAATATATATTGCATGTGACAGTTCACGTCATAAAGCCATCCCCTCCCACAAACATCTGCCCAAAAAATGCAATTTCCTTTCTCCAGACCAACATAGGACTCTTTTTATGCTCGACTTTTCCTTCCTGGCATTTTCACATCTGTCATTAAATAAATATCTAGTCCGAAGGTCGTGAGGACTTAGACATTGCCTTATCCTCAGCACCTGGCTCAGAGTAGGTACTCTTTTATTAAATGAGTGCTTGTTACGGCCCATGTTGATTTACAGAGTCTCCGTTTTCATTTTAAGATGCTTCATGTGTGCCGATGAGCAGCCGAGCCTAACACAATATTTTTGATTTCTGACTTGTAGGAGAGCAAACTCTTTCTAGCCTAGAAGTATCTTAATATTTGTCTTTCTTTTTCTAGGAAAACTTCAGATAGACACTACTTTTCACCTGGTCCCATGCAGAATGCTGTGGGTTTCATTTTCCAATTGAAGCCACTGTATTCCCTGTGGCAGAAACCAACAATAAAGCAAGCAGTAAATTCACAATTAGTCAACAGTGGTTTTCAGTTTTAATTTAGACAGACTTCCTGTTCCTATGGGAGCTTTCGAACCCTGTAAGCCAAAGGGGTCTAGAATGACAGACTGTTTTCTTGTTTGGGGGGGGGGTTAAAGAAAAGTAAATTTTTCTCAAAATAAGATTTATTAGGTATGGAAAATGTTATAAAATCGTTTCTCATGTCTTAAAAAAGGCAACTTTTTAAGATCTTTAGTGCTTACTGTGAGGCTTTTGACTCTTTAAAAGTTAAAACTAGCTACTTGGAGAAAAGTAAAAACCAGCTTCAGGAATCTCAATCAACACAGACCTCAGCTTAAAGAACAGTGGTTCTCTGAAGGACTCTGCACATTCCTCATGAGTAAGAGTTAGAAGCTTGAGAATTCTAGTAGTGCTAGAACCAGGGCTCTGTCAAGTCATTGTGGTCAATTACCCAACCTCCTGCCACAAACACCACAGACTGGTCATGATTACTCAGTGAAGAAAAAGGGACTGTTTTGTTCTTGAAATGCCAATTGTATCGCCACCAAATAATCCGCACTTTGTAAATATCACAAGCATGCAGGAAATCATGAAGATGTAAATTTCTCGAAGACAGTTCTTTTCCATATCAACACCTCTCAGAAAACCCCATTATCAAAAATCAGTCTAAATCTTAATCAAACCTCAGGTTCCTATGAATTATCCCTCATGCCCAAGCATGAGCTGCAAACATTTTTGGTAATTTGCATCCATGAAATGACCCACTGACATCATTGAAGTTGAGCTGCAGTTTGTGGGTCCAGAGTGCATCATGACACCCACAAAGACCTCCCTTTATATTTGTTGCAGACAACATTCTTCTTTTCAAACCCTGCCTCAACTTCTCCTTAATGCATTTCTGTTTTCTCCACGTAATGTGATTTTTCGTGGCAAGTTTTTTTGGCAACTGCTCTCCATCAGCAAGACCTACCTACCCTTACCGTTTTTTCCCTTTACTACTGGTCCTCCCCTCCAATCCACTTATGCCTGAGCACATAGATACTCTCAAGGCAGTTCTTCTCTACCTGATGCTTTTCTTCAGGTTTCCCTTAGTGATCAAGAGAAAACATCCGCACGCAGGATAAGCCAGATCAGCCACCTCTGTCCGGTGTAGGTCATGGTGATTTAGTCCAATCTTCATAACGCTCTAAGAATACAATCGTCTAACTCTAAGGAATCAGAAATAAAAATGCTGTGTGTGACCTGTATCCAATATTCTCAATGTCTTTGGGAAAGTTTAGGCCAACTCCTTGGGGCACCCTTCTTACTGTATTTCTCATTTTAGCTAATCGACCTGCTTATAATCAGTTAAATGGAGTGCTGAGTGGGAATTACAGGGAATTGACAATGGGTCAGCAAGCCAGATGTCTATGCCTGAACATCTGATCCACTCCTCCTGATAAATTAAGTTTTAGAAAGACGTTCAACAGGCATGACATCAAATTATTCTCCCAGTAGAAGAAAATAATTAAAGTGACAGCAAATGCTCTAAATGCAGGCCAGATTTTAGAATAATCTCTTCCTTTTTCTCAGAACTAAATCTTTGAGAAGGGAAAGGTTATTTTTAACTTGATCTTGAATTTTTAAAAAGATAGCTTTTAGAAGTTAAGTAGAGAATTTCGTAAGAATACACTGGGTCAATTTTTTTTTTCCCCAGAAAAATCGAAAAAAGAAGATAGAAGAATTACTTGCTGGCAAACTAGTAGAGGATAAAGTCTCATCCTGTATGAGTCGCAATACCCTAACTACAACCTCCCTATTTAGAAGACCATTCAAGCTAAATCAGGTTGGCCACCCACATCACACAGGACAGAAAGGAAACCTCCAGGTGGTTAAGTATCTCAAAAGCTCTATGCCCACTGGAAGATTTTTTGCTGAAATGAATGATTGTATGCAATTTTTGAGGTCAACAGGAAACAAGTTAGAAAGTAATAAATATTCACTGAGCAGCACTATTGAGAGTTAATCTATAGGTTCTGTTTTGGGATGCAAGATGGGTGGTAGTCCTTATATGCATGGAATTCAGGACTTAATTTCAGAAACAACTTATAATATATCTGGTGCCATATCATGTTACTGCCTCTTCCAATACCACCACTGATAATTAGAATTATCTCTATAATTGAACCCTGAGCATGTATGCTAAGCATTGTGCATATATCAGGCCGTATTTTATCGAGAGAACATGAGGTAGATAATATTGTCTTCCCTTTATCAAGCAGGGAATCCAGAGTCAGAAAAGTTAGGAATCTGCCCAAAGTCAAACACCTCCTCAGTTGGAGAGTCAGGGCTGGAGACCCATTCTACGGAACCCCCAAACTCATCTTTAATCACTGTTCTGTGGACACCTGGCACAGTTCTTAACAAGGGACACATGAACTTGTTTTTAATACAATACAGTTTGAAGAATATTGTAAGTCAAGTAATTATCTAGTTTGTATCTTCATGTTCACATGTGAAGAAAAAACTTCTGTTGTCCCAGGAATTATTGTTGTGCTTTGCATTTCTAAGAGCATATGTTAAAACTAAAGAAAATTCCTTGCAGATGTAAGGCATGGGCTGGTAACACTTGTGATCCGTGCCTTTCAGTTGGATGCTACAGTTACCTCCCCTAACCGCCCCCCCCAACCACTTTTGGTTACATAAAAGGGTTAGGTTTTCCCATCAGTCCTTAACTCTCTATTCTAGACATGCTCCAAGCTTCATTGTTGACAAGCATTTCTTCGGAAAGGGGTCTGTGGCATAAAACTTCTTGGCCTTATTTTGCTTGTGATACTTGAACATTAAGAGCAAGACAGAGGCTTCAGTTTAGAAGACAAGGCAGGCAGCTCTGGTTCAAAGATGTGAGGACTCAGTAGGTTTCTACTCTCCTCTGTGCAATCATTTCCATAGAGGCTGTGTCAGCCAAATAGGATTTCCTAAAGATCGTGGGTTACCAAAACATTTCACTCAAAATGCACTTTTAAGAAAATAGAAAACCTGTAAAATTACAAAGTTTACAAAAGACTTCAATTCCTACAATGACCTGAGAGTTAAGCACACACACACACACCCCCCAACTACAGTCCTAAAGAACCCTTCAATAATTAGTTAATACTACAATTGCAGAGTGCAGTTTATCCAGTGATAGCAATAAAATCACCTATTGTTGTAGACTTGTTGCTTTGAAATGCCCATCTCTTCAAGTCCCCCAGCCCCCCTTCCAAAAGAAAAGAGAAAAGAAAAGAGAAAATTAGAAAAGAAAAGAAAAGAAAGGAAAGGAAAGGGAAAAAAGAAAAGAAAAGAAAAGAAAAGAAAAAAGAAAAGAAAAGAAAAGAAAAGGATGGAAAAGAAAAAAAAAAAAAAAAAGAAAAAAAAAAGGAAGGGTAAGGGCTGGAAAGCCCTGGGGTGAAAGAAGACTCCTAACTGGGGACTGGGGTTATCTTAACCTCTTCTCTGCTATTTATTTAAGTTGTGTGTACAGCCAAAAGGAAGCCACCACTCTGGGGTCCCTGGGACAGCTTAAATCCCCGTGATCCACTTAACACAATAGATTGTTTTAATCAACTCGTGTCCTGGCACCATCTCGAAGGGGAACATAAACAGACGCGCACATCGCTCAGATCTGCTTTTTCCAGCGGGAGATCCAATTACCTACCAGTGGTCGCCTCTCTGCCCTCGTATCATTTAAGGAGAGATTTTAACCCCTAACGTCGGGGCTGTATTTCTCTGTAAAATTGCTGGGGTTCAAAGTAGGCAGAGGAGGAGAAGGCGGCAGCAGGATTCAACCCGGGGAACCGTTCGGGCCAGCTCCGGGCGCGCGGCAAGGGCTTCACGGCAGAGGCCCGGTCACCTCCTGTCTGCCCCCGCCTCGCCCGGGGACTGTCGCCAGAGCCCGCTGCGGGGAAACACCCGGCTGGGGCGCCCCCAAGGCGGACCTGGGATCCGAAGGCAATGCCAAGCCAGAGCGGTGGCGAGTCCTTTCTTTTCAAGCCTGAAGTCTACAAATCGTTCCGGCCGGCAAGGTGACAGCCCCGACGCCCCTCCGACCCCGGACCTGGCGACGGGGTCACCGAGACGGAGAGAGAGAAGAGACGACGACTGGGGCGTCTAAGCCGCCAGTCCCGCGTCGTCCGTCGCTAGCGAGACTCAGCGAGGAAGGCGGGGGCCTCTAGGACACAAACTAAGAAGTACAGGGGAAACGGGACGGGGCGGCTTGGCGCTACCTGGCCCCCGGACGTCCGCGCTTCAAGCGAGGCGCGAGTGGTGCGGGGCGAAGCCTGAAAGAGGGCACCCAGCCGGCCGGTGGATGTGTGCGGTGTTTGTGGTGTGAGCATTGCAGGCTAGCTGGACTCCTGGTCCCCGACCGCCCACAGCCCTTCAGCCGACCCGTTACCCGACGCTCCGGTTTCCACCGTGGCCGAACTCCGCGTCTCTGTTCTCGCCCGAGTCTCCATCTCACCTTGACGATGGGCCAGTGGACCCTCCGCTGAGTCTCCGGTTCCTCCAGCCCACCGCGGGATCACACCTGGGACTCCCACCGGAGCCCCCAGAGGTCCCGAGCGGAAGCGCCGGGCTTCGGACACTTGGCCCCTCTCAGTGCGGCTGGCCCCGCGGTCCGAGGTCGAGCCGCAGGGCCCGGCTGCTGCCCACCGCTCCCGCTCGCCACCCCTCCGCGCTCGAGGGGCGCCCACCAGGGCTCCGCGCCTCTGAGGTGCCGGCCGAGTTGGCAGGAGCGACTGCCACACGCACCAGGAGCGCGTTAACTGGGCCCCGGGAGGTGGAAGTGGGATGCGGGGCAGTAGCTCTCGTTCCTGACATCCTCCTTGCCAGGCTTTCCACGCGGACAGCGCAAGGTGAGGTTACGGCAGCCAAGACCGTGGCGGGCAGGACCCTGGAGTTTTCTGCATAATTCGCCCTGGGGAACTGCGGCCTCCGTCTGCGCGTCTGGAGGGCTACCGCGCGTCTGCACCAAGCGGGACGCGGGAGTCTTTTGACGGGACCCTTGCGCTCTCTCTCTTTCTCTCGCTCTCATTCTCTCACTTACTCCGACCGGAGCCTCTGCACTCACCTGTCAGTGCTGCGGGTCTCCGGGGCCTGCGCTCTCGACGCGGGGCGCGGTGTGCGACCGCGGCCCGAGCCGCCCCGGCTTGGCGCGCGGGGTCAGCCAGACAGAGAGTACCGCTCTCGCTGCACACTGGGTCGCCCGGTCCGCGGAGGGCGCACCGAGTGCGGGGCATCGCGCCGTCTCCGGTTTAAATGCCGGCAGCCGAGCCGGACGCCCGGGGCCGCGTCTCTCCATTGGCCAGGCGCCGCCGCCGCCGCGGGACCCGCTATCCGCCCCCTTTCCCCGTACTGCCCCCGCCCCCCCGCACCCCTCCTGCCTCCCCGCGGGGTCCCCTCTCCGCCTGCCTCGCCTCTTTGTCTGCTCCCCCCGCCCAGGCCGGCTGGGAGAGGTCACCCCAGGGAACCGCGCCTGGAATGCACAGCAAATCACATTTTCCGCTCCCGTTGGAGGGGGAAGCGCGGGAGGAAATCCCCCCGGCTCCAGGCCCCTCATTCCTCCTCCGCCCCAGGCCTGGGCTTTTCCTCTCGCCGGCCCCGCTCCGCCTGCGTTGGCCCCGCAAAGCGCTCGGTCGCAGAGGCTGCCCTGGAACGAGCAAGATCTCCGTAGGATCTCGACAGACGAGGCGGTTCTGGCCCCGTGGCGGGAGCGGGCCTGCAGGATGCTCTGGTTGAACTGTCGCCGCGGCTCCGGCGCGGCTCGGCCGGAGGCCCCCAACTTCGAGGGCGCTGACCCCCGCGCCCCCGTTAACCCCGGCGGGCTCGCCGGCCGCCAGCAGGAGCCTGTCTCCAACATGACACCCTCCTCTCCTCGCCCGCCGCGGGTTCTTTCAGCTCAGATGCTGACGGCCTCGGCCCCAGAGTGTACAGAAGGGAATAACAGGGGGAGAGTAAACCTAAAAGGACCCTCGCAAATCAAGGTTTCCATTTCTAAGCCATCTTTAAACGGGAGAGAACAACAGCTATGCGAGAAGAGGCTTTCTGTAGCATGTTCAAGATGAACAAATCAGGATAATAAAACGTCAGGCGATGAAGGTACTTCCCAGGAATATAAGACAAAAAACCCCCCGTTTGTGAAAAGGCGGCGTCACATTCTGTATTTATTACTGAGAACCCGATGGATAGCGGCGAACACACTCAGCGCATAAATATTTTTCGAAAGATGAGCGAACACTTTCATTTGTTCTCTTAGCTTGAAAATTGGTTCCTCAAAGAAGCCGTAAATTCTGTGTGTCGAAGTTATAGCCCGTGCAAAAATCAACCCGGCTGCGAGGTCTGCAGACCGGCTCCACCAGCCAGGTCAGATGATGGCTAAGGAAAAGAAAAAGAAAAAAAAAAAAAAAAAGGTTATAGAAGGAAATGTGAAGGTGCCTGTGCTCACTAAAGCAAAATAAACAAAACAATGAAACCCAACAAAAGGTACTTGGGAAACAGTCCTGATTTAAGCACTTGGCTAAGAAAACAAAACAAAACCCCAGAACTGCATGATTTTTTTCTCTTTAGGCTGTCATTGTGAGGAAGCTGTCAGAACACTGAACACCTAGGAGATACTCTGAAGAACTTGAAATCAATTTTTCAAAATAAATGAAACAAGAAGGAAGTCTGCAATAAATCAATGTCTGTCTAGAGAATCTTCATCAGGGGAATGTTTTGTTTGTGCAGTCTGCAGTTTCTACCCATAAACTCTGTTCTCCACTTGAAATTTAGTTTCCAATAATTTTTTGTTAAATCACCCCATGCAGTTTGTAGTTGCTTGCAGAAGACAAACATTCAACAGGGCGTAAAGGTTGAGGCTGATGGAGTGGGCTGGAGGAGATTAGGGGAGGTCAGAAATATACAAAATGTTTAGACAAGTAACAGTCCAGCCAAAGTCCACCACCAATCTGTAGAAATCAATTGTTCTTTTTGGTGGTCAGTTCTGCCTCAGAAGAGAAAGGGGCATATTTTACAAATGCCATTAACTCCTAATTTAAAATCAATGTTTTGGTCACCGTTTTGTTTTGTTTTTCCTCCAAAACTCATAAAAGCTGCCCCCAATAAAAATACATTGACAAGGGTTTTCCTTCCTAATTGGAAGTAATTGTTTTGGAGCACTGAGACTGTAGTTTGATATATTTCAATCTATCTCTGCGACTGTTTGTATCTCCGTCTAGTAAATGTTGAGATCACTATGACCCCTCCTCGAAAGGCTTTTGAGACCACAGTGTCTACAATACAAACACTCCAGTCCTCACCCCACCACTCCACAGCTCTATCCCATTTCACCGAGCCCGGTCTCTTTAGTTTCACTCATCTCTCCCTGTCACTACAATGGAGGCTTCATGATGGTGGAGACTTTGTCTATAGTAGTCACTCAGGTTACACCAAGCTCATAGAATACAATGCCCAAGACAGACTTAGGATTCAACAGATAGTTGTGAACTAGGAATGTTCAGCCCACGCCCACTAACTAGGATTAGCGACTGGGCCGAACTACAACCATCATGAATATGGTAAACACGGACCCTCACCTCACAGAGTTTATAGTGGAGAGTATTTGTAAATATTTATATAGATATCCAAGTTTTTGGCCTCATATTTGTGTTTCCACAGCTCTCAACCCGTCATTGCAAACCATTATCCAATCAGGGTGAAGGCATAAGAGTAAAACCTCTTCAGGCCTCTTTAACCATAATTACATAATTGAAACCTGCTCTTAGTAGGAGGGGGAAGAAGTAGAAGGACTCCATGTAGTCAAAGTTAAAATTTTAAATCTGGGATGTCTAAACAGTGATCACTAAGTGATAAATGTCACCTACAGAAACAACTTGCAAATTACTTTGAGGCTTTGAGAAGTGTAAGTCATGCTCAGCTACTGTTTTTATTAAGGGAGAATCTATTTCTCTTGTTCTACTCACCTATCTGTAGCGTGTGTTTGTCTCCATCTAATTCCCAACATGTTAAGACGGAGTTTCTCTTTCAGATTTGGGGAAGAACCTTGAAGTCCTTCGTAGGGAAGTCTTTGCTCAAAACCACAAAAGCTGTTCACCCAATTGTGGAGATGATGTATGGCATCTTGCATTGGATTAAAGAAGAAAAAAAGCCATTCACCCATCTGGAACTGACCTTGGTGCCCTTTCTAAAGGAAAAAAAAATAAACGTGATAATGAACCTGACAATGGTTAAAGAAAAAGATATTTGCAACAGTCAAATAACAGCTAATTGATTCCTATCTAGAATGAATTTCACTTATACACTAGTAAGAAAAAAAAACTCCTCAAGTCACCCAATAGGAGTTGGCAAAGCACATGACTGGGCACTTCACAAAGGTAGAAACCCGAATGACCAATAAACATGAAAAGGCACTAGATTATACTAGTAAATAGGGAAAACGCAAACTGAAGTAAGAAGATGCCCTTGCTGAGCTCGCAGACTGACACAGACTTAAGTCCGCCACTATCCAGTGTTAAAGAGAATATGGAGAAGCAGGCACTTAATGCAATGGCAGTGAGCGTGTATTGGTAGGACCATTGCAGAGAGTAATTTGTTGACATGTGATAAAGTTCACCATGCCCCTAGTATACCACTCAGCCATTCTACTTCTAGGTAAGCCCCTTATAAGAACTTGAGCACATGTAGGAGGCCTAGAATTGTGTGACCGCTTTCACTGCAGAATCATTTGTAACTGTCTCAGCTCAGGGTTGACTCCTGGCCATGACTCTTGCTCTCTGTGCATAAGCAGCAAAATGTTGACCAATGTCCAGTATATGAACAATGCAGTATATGAACATATGAAAATTCCAAACAATGCCGCCAAATACATGCACGTGAACAAATAAATCATGTGGACCATTTTAACACTGTTGGGACCTAATGCCATACAAGTGTTTATTGTGTACACTACCATGTGCAGTGCAGTATAAAGAAGGCAAAAAGTCTGGACACGGTCCTTCACAGTCCTTACATAGGCCCAGCAGAAAAAGCACTGAATTTGGAGGCAAAACAAAATCAGAATAAATTTCTGACTCCTCCTTATAGGAAATGAGTGCCCCTAGGTTAGATATTTAAACCCTCTGAGCCTAAACTCAATCATCTGTTTTATAGGAATGGTAATAATACCTACCTCTGGGTAGATGACGGAATTAAGTACAGTGAGCTCCGTGAAAATGCCAGACACATAACAGACGCTTAATAAACAGGAGTGACTGCTTGGATACTCTAGAGCAGATGGAAGCTGAAACAAATACAATGGAAATGTAATATCAGCATGGGTCATGCCTTAGGTATCTCTATACTCACAGTGCTTAATGCACTGGATGGTACATAATAGGCAGTTGATAAAGTTACTAAATGAGTACATACAGAGGGGAAAGGAAGGAAGTGACAGTGATGGAGGGAGGGAGAGGATAAAGGAATGTGGGAAGGAAGAAAAGGAAAGGAAAGGAGGCAGGGAGAGAGAAGGCAAGAAAGGAAAGGCAGGAGTGAGGCGGGAGCGGGAGTGGTGGGGAGGGAAGGGAAGGAGATACCCTTCCAGTAAATGGCACAGCAGCTTCTATTTTTGGTAAGACCAGCAAATGGCATAAATATCCTAGAGAGGGGCACAGGCTGGACAGCAAACCCCCCTGGCTCTTTTTTGCCTGCATCATAAGAATCACTTAGACCAAAAGTTAAGAGTTCTCCGAATGTGTTCACTGCAGGGGCAGAATCTGAAAAAGAATCGAGAAGATGCCTGAACGCGTAGCAGGAGAGGCTGGACTTCCCATGTGGAAGGCTGCTGGCAGAGATGTGGGAATGCAGCAAGACAGAAAGGCAGACAGAAATGGATTTCTCAGCAAAATAAAAAAAAAAAAATTTCACATACCCAGTACCCAACTATAATGGAACCTGCTGGAAATGAGGCTCCCACCTTCATCTGCAGGCTGGGTGGCTCGTTAAGTCTGGAAAGTTTCTATTCGTTTTGAACTCTTTGATGCCACTTCTCTCAGAAAAATTTGGATGGAACTTTAATTAGTTATTGATTCTCTGCTTTTCCTTAGTGTTTGAACGGCTGTGGGTCTTCATTTTCTAAATCTTTCTACCTATGCTTTCCAAGAAAAGCTCATTCTGCTGCAATTTTAAAATGCCAGGGCTTATTAAACTGAAGGTCCTCTGGGCTTTACCCCATTGTCTTTGGCTGCCCTGCCCCTTTCTTTTACTTTTGGCTTATTCAACTCATTTCCAG